AGTACAGTGAGGTAAGTATAATCAGCACAGCTGGGATAGAAGAAAAGCCACTTAACTCACACTATATGGGTTGAGGTACAGGCAGTCAGGTAGGGGTCAGACCAAACCCAAGGAGGTTCCAACACAGAGGAGAGAAGTGGGGAGGGGGAGGGAGAAAAGGGGAGGAATGGCACAGGGGAGTAGGGCTGCTAGTGTAGATATGAACATAACAATAATTTATATTTTATCAAGGGGTCATGAGGGTTGGGGGAAGGAAGGGAAAATAGATGAGCTGATACTAAGGGCTCAGTAGAAAGTAAATGCTTAGAAAATAATAATGGCAACATATGTACAAATATGCTTGATTCAATTGATGTATGGATTGTTATAAGAGCTGTAAGAATACCCAATAAAATGATCTTTTAATTAAAAAAAGACAATTCCATTGGAATAGTATAAAAAGATTCTCATCTAATTGATTCTAATATATTTATAGGTTCATTATTTTATATTTTAATATTTCCTCCTTTCTGGAATATACTTTTTATGTGATGTGATCTAAAATTTTTAACTAATATTGTTGTTTCAATTCAATTAATTGAATAGCCCAGATATATATGGGTCTTTTTCTGAATTGTCTATTCTGTTCTTTTATACTTATCTTTGCCAGGCAAACTACTACATTCTCAGTTACTTTGGCTTTATAATATTCTTGATGTCTAAAGGAGAAGTTGCTTCTTATAAATTTTCTTTCAAAATGTTTTATTATTCCCCTAATTAGAAACTTACACATAGATTTTACTACACACTTGTCAAATTCCTAAAAATATAATTGTTGATATTTTAATAAAATTTTATTGAATTTACAGATTAATTTAGAAGGGATGTTTTTATAGTATCTTCTTCTCATACAGAGGCAAAAATATAGATTTTTATCTTTTATGTCCTTTGGTTTAGTTCTAGAGTTTTTAACATATAGGCTTTGCTCTTTCTTTGCTAGATTTATTCCTCCATTGCATTTCTACTGTTTATAGTTGGTACTGTATATACAGTGAACCCTCGTTTATCGCAGTTAATTGGTTCTAG